AATTTCATGAGATAATCTTAGAAGATTTCTACATTTCCATCCAGGATTTTGACTTTAAAAAAAAAATTCCTATTTTCCAAATGGGGAAGCCTTTGACACCACCAACGGCTATCTGGGATGTTACGTTTAATGCCACTATCTGGCATAATGGTTTCCTATGTTCTGCAGTTTACTCCTGGGCTAAAAAATCTTTTATCTTCTTAACTAGTATCCATCACTGTTTGTGGACATTATTCTGTGGGTTGATGCAAGCCAAGAGTGTGTTCTTTATTTATTCAATCTTCACAATGAAACTTTGGAATCCATCCTGATTGAAATGAAAAAGCTCAATTTCCATCTCTAGAGTCTTCCAATATATATATATATATATATATATATATATATATATATATATATATATATATATATATATATATATATATATATTTAAGCATCAGAGTCCAAATAGATATCTTTAGAGCAATGATAGCATCCATTATTTTCCTTCTCCTTTTCTTGTTTGGATACATCTAAGAATCCCAGAGCATTTTTTTTTCCTCAGAGGAGGCTGATTGCTTCAAAGAGACACAGTTAATGAAATTAAAAGCCCCTGGTGGTGCTTAAACAGACACTCTGTTGTGTCACAATAAACCAGCTAGTGTAACTTCCATCTTTATCTGACAAGATAAGCTTCTCAGGCCATTTCAGAGGGGAAGCCCAGAGAAGGACCCCCTCTGGCTACTGTCCAGCCTTTCAGCCTGTCCTCTGGACTGTCTCAACTCATTGGGCTTCAATATAGTACTGATGAAAAGGGCATTCTCTGATCGGCTGCCTATCAACCAGCCAAGATACTTTTTACAGCAGCTGTGTTCTACCAGTTCAATTTGGCAAAAGGGGATTGGCTTCAGATATTTCCACCAAGGGAGAAAAGAATTCTCTCCTCTCACCCAGGAAATACTAAGGGGTGTAGTGTGTGTGTGTGTGTGTGTGTGTGTGTGTGAGAGAGAGAGAGAGAGAGAGAGAGAGAGAGAGAGAGAGAGAGAAGGGAAGGAGAGGAAGAGGAAGAGGAAGAGGAAGAGGAAGAGAAGGAGAAAGAGAAAGAGAAAGAGAAGAATAGGAAGAGAAGAGAAGAGAAGAGAAGAGAAGAGAAGAGAAGAGAAGAGAAGAGAAGAGAAGAGAAGAGAAGAGAAGAGAATGTTCTGTCTATTTTGGTCCAATCACTCTCCAGCAGCCTTCAGCCAACCTGGCTTCCCATCTTCAATTAAATCCCAAGGAAAGACACCCAGAAGGAATTTTTCTCATAAATCTTCTTTTTTTAAAAAAAATAAAATAAAAATAAATCAAAGAACGTGGATAGCCAAGGAGGCTACAGAGAGGATGAAACAATAGGTCACAGAAAACACACCAAGGAAGAAGTCAGTCAAAACCTCATCCAGAGAAACTCCCAAAAAATCTTCAAGCACTTGAGAGAAAAGAAGAGCGACAGAAGAACCCTTCTTATCTTAAGGAAAGACAATGGGAAATAGCAAGGCAGATTTTATCCCCAACGTTAGTACGAGCAGTGAAACGAATGGCCACTGCACACAGCCGGTTGCTTGAAGGCGAAAGAAACAGCCCAATTAAAGTGGTCGGGGTGACTCCAGTCCAGGGAGTGAAAGGGGATTCCACTTTGTAGATCTGTTTCAATGGGGGGGGGGTTGACAGAATTGCCCCATCCGAGCCTTCTCTAAGCCTGCTAGAAGCCCAGTGATTTGGCAAGATCAGCAAGGAGAGGAGGGTGTTGTTTTGGGTTCTTTGACCACATGGTTTCTCAGCTGCAGCCTCTTGATTATTAAGCAGACCCATTAAGAATGTTATGGTCTTCTTCGGAATAGGATAGAAATGTATTCAATGCCATGCTTGCACATGCTATGAAAAGAGCCCTTGCTATTCAAGCGAAGGATCGTTTAGCCAGCACCCTGCTTCCAACTGCAGATAAATAAAAAGTATCTTGAAAATTTAAAGCAGTAACCAACAGTGGATTGGACAGTTGATGGAATACTTCCCTTGAAGATGGAAGCTTCATTTGGCTGTCGTAGTGGGTAGCCCCAGAGATTGTGGTTGTCCGAATTCTTCCTAGAGTCTACCGTTAATCCCTTTTAAAGAAAAGTCAGATCCTTTTCTGCTTTGTTTCTTAGCCCCCAAATGCAAAAGGGTATTTTTGCAGCATCATACTAGTCAGAGAAATATCCAGTGTATCTTTTCTCTTAGCTATTTCAAAAAGGCCAAGGTGAGATCAGGAGTAGAGTCAGATTTCCAGCTAGGCTAACCACCTCTAACCTTTTCCTGGGGAGAAAAAATAAAATAAAATGTGTTCTTTTGAAAGGGAGTATAAAACATCTTTGCTTCTTTTGGACTATGGAGAAGGTCCTCCACCTATTCAACTAACAGCTTGATCAGCGTTTCCAAAGCAGTCAAGTTATTTCCTGGATACAAAAGATTCACATAATCATATCTCCCCCAGCAGTCCAGATTATGATATAGACACACAAAATACTAAGAAGACATCGTTTCGTTTATAAATGGTGGTGAATTACAGGAGAACAAGAGGGGGAAAGTGAAAACTGGGGAAGATGCCTCTGAAAGATGAGAAGGCCCAGAATCCCCAGGCTGAGAACATCCATATAGGGTTTTTTTTATTATTTTTTTCCTGATGTTATCTAGAAACCATCCTGTACTGTAAAAACAGGGATACATCTGGGAACTGAATGCAGGACTAGTTCCAAAGTTGGCTTCTCTGATTCCTTGGGGAGATGGGGGGGGGGAATGTGGGAAGAAAAATAGCAATAAAAGGAAAGTTACTAAGGGCAGGATGGGTTTAAAAGCAACCACTCTCCCAATCATCTCTAGCAAGTTAGTATTGTCTCCAACCGACCATGCAGGAAAATATTTGGAAACAGAAATATTCTTCTCTCTCTCTCTCTCTCTCTCTCTCTCTCTCTCTCTCTCTCTCTCTCTCTCTCCCCCCCCCCATGCTACCCACCTCTCTAGGGTCTAGTAACTTTTGGGAAGTTATTTGCAAGGCCAAGGGCCAGCCTTTAGGATCTACCCAGCCCAACAGAAACACAGAGAGCTCATCTTACACGATTTTAAAATGTCACCTTTTTAACTTCTGTGCACCATGAAGGTCTCATTGCCAAAAGAAGCACACACAAAAAAATATCGCATACACATTGGGGCAATTTAGCCCTGAGCTCTGTTAGAGCCGCAAAGCACCTCCCCTCTTCCAAAGATGGGGAAGAAAGGGAAGAAAACAGCAACCTAAAGTCATCCATCTGTCGTCCCCCTCCCCCCACTTCTTCTATGAAGTGTGTTGTGCCACTGGGATATTTAATTAATAAGAATAACCACCACCCCCTTTCTCATTAGTCATTGCTATCTTTTCCTGCATTTCACTGCCTAATAATCATAATAATGAGCATCCCACATTCCTCATCCTGAAAACCCCATCCCTGTGGGAGTCCCATGGGTTGCTTACACAGGAGTATCACGGAGGACTCTCCCCCTCCCCCTCCCCACCCAATAAGCCTACTTTGGTCTCTGTCAATGACGGAAGAGGGGTTTTTTTTTTTTGCCCCATCCACTTGTCTATAAACAAGCATGCGTGTGTATTAGCCCAATGCAGAAAGCCAAGCTGAGAGGTGTTTGATATGATTCATATTTGCAATCTAGGTTGATAAAACTTGTGAAAAGAGGGAGGAGAATGATGGTTCCTTTCCCTCCCAGCCTCACCACCACCACCACCACCACCACCACCACCACCACCACCACCACCACCACCGTTTAATGGGATTTTATGTGGTGTTTCATCCACTGGGATTTCCTAACAAGGCGAAAGGAGGAAGTTGATTTTCCAGATAAAGCAGCAAAACACACCACTAAAAAAAAAATATCTCGGCTTTCAACAGCCCCCAACCTCAGGCCAGCTACTGGGGAATCAAAATATGCACAGCTTAAAGGGAAGAGAGAGAGAGAGAGAGAGAGGAGCTATGAGAGAAGGGACTGATTCTGGAATCAGACACCTTTGCAATTAAAATGTGTTTGTGTGTGTGTCAGTGTCTGGGTGTCTGTACTGTGCCTGTGTGTGTGTGTGTGTGTGTGTGTGTGTAAAATAACTTGAATATGGATTACTTTATGTAGGACAATTATTTCCCAAAGGTCATTTTAGGCAGACACAAGCATGAATTTGTGTGTGTCCCTCTCTCTTTCACTCTCTGGGCATATATATCTGCAGTGTTAATAGGGTCGTGTGTTTTTTTTTTTTTTTCTTTAAAAAAAAAAAAGCATCAACAAGGACAGAGAGACCAGTATGAAAGGAAGGGGTGGGAGAAAAACTCCTGTGATCATGGAGAGAGAGAGAGGGAGGGAGGGAGGGAGGGAGAGAGAGAGAGAGAGAGAGAGAGAGAGAGAACACACATATTCTCACAGATTCTTCTTTGCACACAGTTACAGCAAGCTCGAGATTGTGGGTGACTGAAAGACCGGTTCTCCGCCACACAAACGCTTACAAGCCCCTCTCCCAATTGCCCTCGAGTTTGCTGGCAAACCCCTTTCCCGACTCCATGGCCCTTTCGTGCTTTTTTTTTTCAAACTGTTGCTTCCCCCCCCCCCCATGGAGGGAGGCTCCCAGGATTTGCGGGGGAGGAGGGGAAAGGATGCTAAATCTGCATTCAGCGAGACGCAGAGGTCCCATCACCTAACCTTCTTCCCCAGCAGGCGAGTCGCGGGACAGAAGCGGTGGCCCAGAGGGGCGTCGGGTACCCCATCGGGCAGAAGCCAAACCTTCGCTTCTCTTAATCGCACCCCACCCCTGCATTCTCCTTTACAGTCACCACACATTCGTATTTGGACACACGGGGGGGGGAGGAAGGAAGGAAGGAAGGAAGGAAGGAAGGAAGGAAGGAAGGAAGGAAGGAAGGAAGGAAGGAAGGAAGCGAGAGAAAAAGAGGGAGAGCCGAGCCGAGGGCGAAAGAGGGACTTACATCGAAGTGATATTCCTAGAGATATCCGTGATGTTGATGCTGGCATTTCCATTGGTGGATCCCGAATCTTGCCCCTCCAGCAGAGGGAAGAGGTTGCCGTCGTCCGGTTTTTTGCAACTGATGTCGGTCTTGTTGCAAAGGCAGTTGGCAGGGCAACCCCAAACGGAAACCAAGTAGTCCCCCCAAATGCTCCAGAGCCAGAAAACCTTCCAAAAACTACATTTGGTCGGACAAAACGAGACATCCATCTTCGATCGGTGGGGCTTTATTTAAAAAACACAAAAAAAGACACACACAGAGGGGGGGGGAGAGAAAGAGGAGGAAAGATTGCGAAGGGGAAGAAGAAGAAGAAGAAGGGGAGGGAGGGAGCAGCGTAGAAGGCGAGGGGAAAGAGAGGTTTGAAGGGAGGGGGGAGAAGAGAAAGGGAGGGGGGAAACCTCAACCCCCCCCAAAAAAACACCCACCCACCCCAAAAAAACCCGAAACCCACCCACCCCCAAAAAAACCACCCTCAAGCGATCGGAGCAAGAGAAAATCCTGGCGCCGTTGAAACCATGTTGGCCGAGCGGAGAGGCTGTAATTCCCTCTTACAAGCGCGGTGCGCCAGGCATAGCGGCTGGTGGAGAGATGCGCGCGCGTGAGCGGGGTGTGTGTGTGTGTGTGTGTGTGTTTGTGTGTCTGTGTGTGTGCGTGTGTGGTGGCGTGGGGAGGGGGGGGTTGCGCGCGTGTCCCGATGCCTTGTTGATCCTCCTCTCTCTCTCTCGTTGGCTGGCTGGCTGGCTGGCTGCTCTTCTCTAGACTTGTGAAGATTGCAAGAGAAGATTCGCAGCGGCACGGAGGAGGAGGAGGAGGAGGAGGAGGAGGAGGAGGAGGAGGAGGAGGAGGAGGAGGAAGAAGAGGAGGAAGAAGAGGAGGAGGAAGCGAGGGCGGTCGGGGTGGGGGGGTAGGGGGGCTCCTATACTGATGCTCCAAGTCCCCAAGTCCCACCTACTGGGCAGAATGAAAACTGAAACACCTGCAGGAAGAAAAAAATAAAAAGCACCGGGCAGTGGAGGGGGGGGGAAGAGAGAGAGAGAGAGAGAGAGGGAGGGAGGGAGGGAGGGAGGGAGAGAGAGAGAGAGAGAGAGAGAGAGAGAGAGAGAGAGAGAGAGAGAGAGAGAGAGAGAGAGAGAGAGAGAGAGAGAGAGAGAGAGTCACGAATCACCGCCTTCCCACGCCCAGCAGTGCTGCAGAAGGGAAGCGGCGCCCAACCGGCCAGGTTGTGACTGTGGGCGGTTGATAACAGCCGCGGTGTCCCCCCCCCCCCAACGCCGTTGGCACTCGTGACTCCGGCTCGGCGCGTTTGGCAATTGCTTTGGCAATGCCCGGGATGCAGCGTCCCCCTGTCTCTGGGCACGGCGGAGATGAGTTGGAGGTGGGGGGGGGTCTTCCAGCTTCGGCTTCTGGTTGTTTCGGAAGTTGGGTGGGCTTCTCGGACCGATCGGCCGGCGGTGTGGTGGGTCAAGACCGAGGGAAGGCGGCGATCCGCCAAAGCGGGCGCCTCCTTTTTTTTCCTCTTCCGCGGAAACACGCGTGGGCTGCGGACGCCGCGGTGCGGGCCCCTGATAGCCCTCCCTACTACAGAACAGCAGGGTCCCCTGACGTGGGAACGAGCCCGCCTCGTGGCGGTCCAGCTGGGTTTACTTCCAAGTAAACGTCAGAAAGGATCGGCCAGGTGCACGTGGGAAAAAAGGGTCCCCCGTCGGGATCGCCACCAATGCGAGAAAGCGAGCTCGTCTGTTGCTAGATCTCCAAAACACTCCTTCCTCGTAATCCCCCCATCCTTCCTTCCTTCCTTCCTTCCTTCCTTCCTTCCTTTTTCTTTTTTCTTTCTTCCCTTCCTTCCTTCCTTCCTCTTTCCTTTTTTCCTTCCTTCCTTCCTTCCTCTTTCTTTTTTCTTTTTTTCCTTTCTTCCTTTCTTCCTTCCTTTTTCTTTTTTTCTTTCTTTCCTTCCTCTTTCTTTTTTCCTTCCTTCCTTCCTTCCTTCCTTCCTTCCTTCCTTCCTTCCTTCCTTCCTTCCTTCCTTCCTTCCTTCCTTCCTTCCTTCCTTTTCTTCTTTTTAAGTTCTGCAATCTGACAGAAAACAATCCCTGGTACATAATCCGGGAAGAATTGACGAATAGAAAACAAACTAAAAAGAAAAAAAAGTCGCGAGTGTATTCGTCCCAGATTTAAAAACAAAAAGTAAAAAAACACACACCATCACCGGGTATTATTTTTACCAAGATCGTCCAGCTTCCGAACAGAAGAAGACATATGGGGGGGGGGGGAGGAAGTGGCGGAGGAGAGGGAGGAGGAAAAAACTAGGGCCGGGAAGAAGTTGAGACATAAAAACCCGGGTGGAACCAGTTTGCGAGATGGGAGGAATCTCTCCCTATATCTTTGAACGCAAGTAACGGTTGGATGTAAAAACCCAGATAGGGGATGAAAGAGAAGGAAAGCAGGGAGTAAGGGTACCCTGGAAAGGGCTGATCTCCAAGATAGATCAGGAGATTGTGTGTGTGTGTGTGTGTGTGTGTGTGTGTGTAGTGTAGTGTAGTGTGTTACCAAAAGCTGGAGTGAATTAAGATTCAGGGTGCATTTTGGGGGACATGCAAAATTCCAGGCAGATCAGAGCCCTGTCTAATTTGCTTTGCATCTCTATCATTTGTGTGTGTGTGTATGTGTGTGTGTGTGTTCCATCCTGCTTTTTCCCCCTACTCCTCCTCCATCTCTTTTAATAGTCTCTTGTTTCTGCTCCTTTGCACACAGACGCAAGATTGATCAGCGATCAGACTTGTACTCTTCAGCTTTAGGACAAGGGACTTTACAGGTGTACCCTCCTTTTAAAGATTTTGGATTTCTTTCTTTTTTTGCAAGCCCAGGAAAATAATTGCTACATCCCCACAGGGGAAATGCAAGGGGTGGGGGTGGGGAGATGGAACTGCATTGGGAAGCATAGCTTAAAAAAAAAAAAAAAAACCTCTTTTAATAAGGTTTCTAAACCCTACTCCTAAATTATAACCAGCAGCCTATTTCATTTTTGCATCAGAAAAAATAGTTTTATAACATTAAGCCCTATTTTGCAAGGAAATCCATAATTTACCGTTCTTCTACCAGTGGTTTTTTTGAACATGGTCAACCTTAAATAAAGATGGCTGAGTTCACCCGTCCAATTGTTTATCCATTGACTGATTAACAAACTACTATTGCCCAGGTTGGCAGGGGAGTATGTGAATCTGGAGAAAACCCATTTAGATCAGACCTGTGATTCGACAGAGGCTTCCATTTTAATTCAGAAAACTGATAGCCAAATCAAATGGTTGAATTGATTTGAGCTTCCAGATCAATTAAAAAAATTAGGACATATGCAGACATGATCTGAATCAATTTGGAAGCAAATCAATCTGCCTTGCCAATACAATTCATAAATCTGACTTGGAGGTTCAATTAAATTACCTTAGAATTGCATCTCTGAACTGAATAATTGAATGGTTCATTCAAAACCCGGCATAAAAACTATGGTTACCAAATCCAGGTCACCCAGTAAACTAACCAAGTAATCCTTATTGCTGCTCGCTGTAATCTCACCAGACAATATTTTTCATGTAGAAATTTCCAGATTTGATTCTTGTCATTTCCAAGTAAGTCTAAGAAAAAATCCTGCCGGAAGCCCTGTGAGACTCATAATACTGCAGCGCATGGATCTGGCCTAGGAAGATTGCAATATATCTGCCAACTATTTGACAGTCACAATAGACATAAAATAAAAGCAAGGAAAACTGAAACAAGAGAAAGCATTGGTGTTTGGTTATTATTATGGTTGGTTGCACTGTCAGTCAGATGTTTAGACTGGATTTGGTATTATCCAGCTGTTCAGTCCTTCCCAAAAACCTGAAGTAGGCAGATGTTGTTTGATAGTGTTAAAGTTATCATTACAGGATGTAAGCTATTGCAAGTGAAACCTTTTGCAATTGACTGATAGTGAGTTTATCAATGCCTATGATGTTCAAGTGGTTTTTCCGGATGTTTGGGGATTGCACCCAAGACACCTATTGCTATAGGTCAGGGGTCCCCAAACCCCGGTCCATGGACCAGAAACAGGTCCACACAAACAAGCAAAGCACCATCCGTGGGATGCAGGCAGCACACAAAACTATGCACTCCCCATGTCCGCGGAAAAATCTCTCTCCACGGAACCGGTCCCTGATGCCCAAAAGGTTGGGGACCTCTGCAATAGGTAATACCTTTGCTTCCTTTTGTCACTGTTGTTCTATTTTTATTTGTAGGTCTTTGCATTTTGTGATGTCTCTCCAGTTCTTTTTTTTTCTTGTTTTGCCGTCTTCAGGTATCGCAAATGTTCCCTATGCAGATTTTTTGGTCTTTCTTATCAACAGTTGTTTAAGTCTGGGTTGTTGTGTGGCAGCAGCTTGCCTGTTTGAATTCTAAAGTTCCCAGATCACTTTAACGTCTTCCTTTTCTATTACTTTGTGTATTTTGTAGTCCCAACAGTTCTTGCTTGCAGGCAAATGGTATTTCTTGCAGATATTCCAATGCATTGGTTGCTGCTACTTTGTCATGCCGTTGTTGGTAGTCAATCTGCGTGATCTTCTTGCTTCTTCAGCTTCTTTGCAGAGGCAGCACTTGCTGTCTGATGCTGCCTTCTCAGTTTTGGCTTTGTATTCATTTGTTCTTAAGGCTTGGTCTTGTGCAACCAGAATTCAACTTTCCTCCTCTTAGTCATCACCAGATTTTCATTATCTGCTTTGACTGCTAGGGTTGTGTTTTTTTTAATGGCCATATAATACATTGCCTTGTCATGTCTCTTTTCTGTTTTCAATTGGTCATTCTTCTAGGCACGTTTGGCCTCTTTGATATTCAGCAAGCCTTCATGGTTTACAGGCTTCGGTGCATCTTCTTCACTGTCCTTCAGATATTCTTCCAATGTTCTCTTTTCTTCTTCACCTGTCTGGTGTACTTACAACGTTCCATGCCCACCTATGCTGCTTGGCAAGTAGAGTCAATGTTGCTGCATGGTTGAAGGGCATGATTTAATTTACATTATTTTTCTGCTGTCTGGGACTTCTAGTTCTGCTTAAATCCAACACACTATTCCAGTTGTGTATCAAATGAATTGAATTGTCCAATTATTAATTACCTTGAGGGTATTTCCTCCACTGAGTTTGGACTTTAAGATCTTCTCTCTCTTGATATATTCGCTAACAACCTTCTTCTTGACTTCAGTGTGATATTGTTTCTTTACTTGCCAATCTC